TAATTATCTAAGGGAAAGTGCGTATACATTTAATAAGGAAATTACTGATTGCATCTTGTATTTAATAATTATCTAAGGGAAAGTGCGTATACATTTAATAAGGAAATTACTGATTGCATCTTGTATTTAATAATTTTCTAAGGGAAAGTGCGTATACATTCAATAAGGAAATTATTGATTGCATCTTGTACTTAATAATTTCAAGTTTTGATAGCATCAGTGGATATTTCTGAAACATTAAACTAATGATAGAGTCTGAGAAGTTTTTCGGAAGTCATTAACAAAGTTACAAATTAAAGGGTTTTACAAAGTGAAAAATGTCTGTAAAAAGCCTCGTGCTCCGAAGAGTCAGTTTATTTGTACCAGTAACGAACTTATGGGGCTTTTACACTTCGACAAAGAACTTCAAATGTTGCAAATGTAGAACCAAATTACTTCCTAGAATGTTAATACAAAAATTTATAGGTGAAAGAACAAATTATCAATTGTTTAGTGTTTTCGATATATCCTACGTATATGAATATAAATCACAGTTTCGGTAATAATCAGTGGTGTTATTAATATATATTTTAACATACAAGATACATTACGTTCATAAGGGATCGGCGTTCTAATGATTATCGACGGAACAGGGGTATTTCTTTTTAAACTGCTAAATAAATGGAGTCCACTTAATTTGCATTTTAAACAAAACAGCACTTAAAACATCTTAAGCACACAGGGCCAGGTCAGAGAACCAGAAAGTTCAGGCATAACTGCTTCTTAGTTTGCTAATGACCAGAGGGCAGTCAATGCTTCGAACCTTGAATCTTTCGATATGAAGTCCGGTATGTTTTTTAATTTCGCGCAAAAAGAAAAATGGATTACGTTTCGAGCTTACGCTTTGCATCAATAGTCACACTTTTCTAGAATGTTTAAATAATTTATTGCTTAGAAAAGTTGGGTTACATGATGAAGAATGTATAGTTAAAATATTATAGGGCCGGCTAGGCCTTATTGTTAGCGCTGCAGGATTGTGAATCTGGGGGTTAGTGGTTCGCGTCCTGCTACCGTTAAATCGTGCTCCACACTCTGAACTTGAGGGAGAATTAAAAGATGTAACCGTCAAATCCCACTATTCAATTGAATTTCCAGGAGTTGACAAAGGATGCTGTTGAATAATAACATTCAGTCTAGTGTATCAACTCAAAAACGAGGACGACAAGTTTTGTGTCAATATTCGAAACAAACGGGAGTTTATTAAAATTGTTGGTGTTTGAATAAAATGTTTTAACTGCAACGTTTCGAACAACGTATTTTCACCAACGCTTTACATCTTGAGGTTTATATGTTGCATGCTTAATACATGTGAATAGAACACTAGTAATGTTATGTAATTAAACAATCTCTATCCACAGTACTTTATTAAACCAAACAATTACCTACTAAAAAAAAACGAAATGAAGATATGTTTAATTCATATATCAACTGAGATATCAGATGAAAACAAAATTAAAAGGCTAAGACGAAACAAACTCTAATGCATTCTCGGACAGAATAAAAGGAACGTCACCAAATACATTACACACACACATCAGTTTTTTGTCAATGATTGAAGGTTTCATTTTACGTTCACTTAACAGATAACCTTCATTGTTAGAGTGTCATGAGATGATACTTCAGATATTGCTACTATATTTAAAAGAAGTTTTCTCAAAACAAAGCAAAATAAAACAGAAACAGTATTCAGCACACATGTTTCACTGTTCCCATGGAGATAAAAAAATATATTAATATGTTTTCCTTCATGTCTTACTGAATAAAAAACGAAGCACTAGAAAAAACACTTAAACAATTGCGTGTCGACTATTCATCATAGAAATAGCAACGTTTGATGTATAAGTTTACTCTATTCACTTTGTAGTTCTCGAGGTGAGAGACAAATTTTTCCCATTGAGTGTAATGATCTTAATATAATATAGTCAGGTGAGGGCGTGTCTGTACGTACAGTATTTCTTTGGGAAAAAATATTGATTTACGTTTGTAGCTACACTTTTGTAGCAATTAAAAGGCGTTTACTGAAATGAAACACGAAGAATATAAAGCATCAGTTTAACCCAGTGTCAGAAATGCCAGTACTTGCGATCGTTGTATTTAATTAATGAGTATGATAAACATAACGACTCGTGAGCACTAAGTTTTATTCATTCTTAATTAAACACGGTTATTATTCAACATTAGACGACGCTTAAGCATTTGTTGTTTGAACGGTTAAATTAAACTGATCAAGTCATCTTAAATATGAGGCTACGGTGGCTAGAACGTGACATTTTTAGAGGAACTAAAGTGACCGAATTCCATTACGCAGGCTACTAAAAAGTAAATATATACTCACTTCATAAAGAATGATGTTTTATTAAATAAATCAAAACGTGAAAGAAAGGGTATAAAGTTACCATTACCATTTGTGGACTTTTTCTTTACAATATTTCAGGCAGAAACGGTTAGACATAGTACGTATAAGATCTGAAATCCTGGCACCACGGGGTTACATTCCTCTCCTGATGAGTGTTCTTCTAGAAGATAATTGTTTAAGACGCTTTTGAAGAAAACGATGAAGGATGGACCACACACATACTCGATAGTGTTATGGCTTGGACACGGAAGAGTTGTAATGCTTTGACCTTTAAGCCATTGTTTTTTGACTGGGGCTGAAAAAGTACAAAGACCTTTTTCCGATCAGTATACCTTTGACGTAAACAGGTAGGGTCTTGCCCGACGGGCAGAAGTGACCACCCCTTCGTATACAACTAGCGTTTTTCATCCAGCTGCTAAAACAGTATCCAGACTATATCAGAAATGTCAATGTTTTGGGTAGATTACCGAGCGTTCAGTGATGGGTCCAGAGAGGACAGTCAGCAAATCCAGAGGCGTCAACTGTTCGAGACATTTCCAAACATGGACTCACCGAAAAAAAAAAAGTAGTAGTATCCTAAAAGACAGGAAGTCCGCGATATAATTTGTCGACGTGCGATGATGTTTGGAATGAGGATTGATTTCCGTCCAGCTATTCTACTGTTGTAGCCCATGATGTGAGGATAACATCTGATGCG